CTCTCATCTAGATGCTGTCTGACAACCTTGTTTAACCTTGGTGTTAAACCCAAAACCAAAAATGCAATTTATTGCAGTTTACTAATCCTAAAGCTGGGTACACACAGGCCTAAAATTGGATGAAAATGATCAGTCTGGCAGGAATCGTATGACTTTTGGCCCAGCTCCAAGTCCAGTTGCTTTCTGGTCTCTAACCTAGACGAAGATGATGCCATACATCCTAGGAGTCTTAATGGGCATGTTTTTTTCTTTCATTTGGAGGAGGAAAGCACACCCTCCTGTCTGCAAGCCTGAGCTGGGGGTAGATGAATTTCAGGAGTTACTCAAGATGAGCTAAAAATGCTAGGGGGGTCGTTTTTTTAAAGTGATTTCTCAACAAACTAAAGCATGCATACCTGGATAGATGGGTGAGTTTGCTTTGAATATTATAAATTAATTAAATAGCATTTTTTGATTTCTGAAGCTCAAATACAGTTAAGTTCTGTTTTGAGCAATACAGCTTGGTCACCTGTCTGCATCCAGCCTGTGACTGGACAAAGAAGAAGAGCAGCAACAATGGGATGGGATGGACCTTGTCAGCACATGTGCATAAAATAGAACCCAAGTGGCTCAGATTACTGCCCCTCCTTCTGCAAGCTTGAGTGCTGCTCTAATTATCAAGACAGGTGATTTAACAATTTGAATCTAAAAATTTTTTAATTTTTAATGAATATATAAAATTTTTTGTTTGGTAATTTCTGCCTGGGGTGCTGGAACATCATTCCATTTCCCGTCAAAGATCTTGCTTTATGATGCATTATTGGCAAATTGTACTATATTTGACTATGTACTTTCCAACACACACATATTGACTTAACAAAGGCAAACAGGCTGTCCATTTTCAAGGGGATTTTTCCATAGCTTAGTGAATGTGGCAAAGTTTCACTTCCAAGAATACCCAATCACATCACAATTGGATGATCGAAGTCAGTGGAGCTTCACTTCATTCACCAAGGTGCTGAGGATAATTCCCTTGTAAAGAGCAATGTCCCTTTATATTAGGCATGTGACTCTAATTTTCAAATCTCATTAGACTCGCATGGGAATCATTACCATTAAAAAAAAAATAAGGATTTTTATCATGGTGCATTAGCTTTGTAAATTGAGCCTATAATGGAAAAATAATACCTACAAATAAAAGGGCAAGACACCACTGCAAAGTTCTTCCATATTCTTTCTGTTTTTAAAGATTTGAAAGCAGCCTAAACACAATTAAATTTCCTTATCTTTTTTGATCAAATTCTGTGTTTCTATGAAATGACCAGGAGGAACATATACAGACAAATGAACTGAAAACAATTTCCCACAGAATGGGAACTGACTATGACTAAGCTCTGTTTAAAATGGATTAAAAACTGATCAAAAACATGCTGAAAAGGGATTTTGCACACAGAAAATGAATCTGTATTTTATTATTTTTTTTATGACAGATTAAAAATGCAACGTGCGCCAGAGCACTAAGGCATTTGGCTGCAAAAAATATAGTACTGCATGACACAAATGAAAGCGTGTTTTACAAGTATTGGCTAGGTGCCGAGTAATGGGCTATGGAAGAAATACAATTATAGCAATCTAACTTCCTAGTTCCCAGACTAAAAGGGGTAAATCTGATGAGCTCGGGGGGGGGGGGGGGGGTGGGGGGGGTCTTCTAGTTTCATAGTAAAATGGTTAGGATAGTTTTACATTTTAGTAGTTTAGCAAACAAAATATATTGTTTAATATTTTAGTTATTTAGAAACATAACATATTATTTGGAAAGCAGTTACGATTAGGGGTATCAGTGATACAAGGGGATCAAGTGACCTACAAAATTGGGGTGGTGAAGTTGCATTGTTTTTTTTTGTTTTTTTGAAGGGGTTACTTACTGTAACTTACTGTAAAAGCTGAATACACCCAAAAGTGTTTTAGTTATAGGTGTAGCTTGTCTGGGCAAGTTTTCGCCTGGCTACTTATGTGTCTTCAATACTCAAATGGAGGTCTCACAACCATTCCTCATTCTAGAATGTAAGGTCCAGTAAAGCTTTCAGAGTAGTGAGTGGGGATGAGGTTTAGATTTGCCACTAACAAGGTTCACAAAGAATCCCTTGATATCGCAAATAGTGAACTTTTGGCCAAAAACGTTTCAGGTTTGCCACCAGTAATAATGAACAACCTATAATGTCTTGGCCCCAACCAGAGGCACAAAAAACTATAATGTGAAGCAATGAAAGCCCATCCCCCTTTCTATAAAAGGGTGGGTTTACAGCAGTTATATGGTCAGCATGTGTCAGACGTATTAGGGAGAGATACTTTTTTGGCATTGGTACATGTCTCCTATTGCACATCCCGGTTTCCTGTGCCTTTGATTTGAAAACAGCTTGTTAATTAGTCCCACAAATGGCCAGAATTGAAAAACAAGACCCCCCTCCCATCTTAGACCTTAATAGGGTTCACTGCAAAGTTTGTGAACTTCAAGTAAAATACAGTTTTTGGGAACCAAACCCAAGCATATTTGTGCTTCCATAGTAGTAAGGTCAGGAGTATTTAAGATATATTATGGACTATAGATAGCAGGGAGTCAGATCACAACATAGAATATAGAGCATAGTGATCACACAACTTTGAATATTGAGGATAGGTGTCAGGACTATGAACAGCCTCACAGGGCCCTAGGGGACTCATGCTTGCCTGCACCCATGTTGATAGACTTTAGGCATAAAAGGAGCTCCCAAGACACTTTATCTAAGTACTGTCTTGTACAGACACTAAGGTTAATTTACTAAAGGCAAATAGACTTTTCAAGAGAAGTTGCACTTTGCAAGGAAAACTGCCTCAGAGCTTAGAGCTTATATAATGGGGTGAAGCTCTGCTGACTTCCATCATTCAAACGTGTAAGGAAAAAAGCTGTTTTTTTTTTATTTTCCTTGCACTAGATTGGGTATTTTTTCTAAAGTGAGATTTCACCTCATTCACTATGTTCTAGGGCAAATTCCCTTTGCTTGCAAAGTTAACAGCCTATTTACTTTTGGTAAATCAACCACAGTGTGTTGGCTTCATTGATAAACATGTTGTAACAATATTATTATTGCAATGGCGTTGATTTACTAAAACTAGAAAGTGCTAAATCTGATGCAGCTCTGCATAGAAACCAATCAGCTTCAAATTTGTTGTCAAAGCGTAATTGAACAAGCTGAAGTTAGAAGCTGATTGGCTACCATGCACAACTGCACCAGATTTTGCACTCTCCTTTTAGTAAATCAACCCCAATGTGTTTGAAACAATTCATTCTAGCACAGGTTAGGGAGTGTTATTAGACATGTCAGTAAAAGCAACTTCAGAAGAAAAAAAGTTATCCTTTTCAATATAAAAATTCCCTATTTAACCATTTAAAAACCTGTAGTTAATCTTAATCAACCATAGTTACTCCTTCCTACTCTTCTCCATTTAGCTATGATTAGTTTTTTTGGTTTGTTTTTATCTATCATCCATATTTTTACTTTATACACTTTGTTATTTGAGAGAAATGTTCATTTATGGTTCATTGAGATAATCATGACTTATAGAGTATGGAGCCTTGAACTGAAAGAAGCCTAGAGTCTACGATCCTTAATTTACCACTCCTCCAGTCATTCCTGTGGCACTTTCCATAATAAAAAATCTGGGAAAATGGAGGCAAGAACTTGAGCACTGAGATCCCATCAAAAAAAGTCAGGTGATATAACTCAACCAAAAGCTTTAATGTCAGTTTTGAGTGGCCTTTATAACTTTTTGGACAGTGATCTAGGCTAGTTTTAATCCCTGAAGTTTGAACACATGGCTGTTCGTTTTCTTTCTCTTCTCGGGGCAATAATGGAACTCGCATGACCAGAGCAGGAAGGATATCTGAACAGAGTCATAAGAAAGTAATGGAAAAATTAGTTAAGAAGGATTGTCTGGTGATCTGTACCATATGGAGTAGTAAGTGATAAAGTTTATAATTGGTGTCTGTATCTCTACTGTACTGCTGACCTTAATTCTGTCTTTCACCTCTGACTCTTGGCCTTAGGCCATTGCATTACTTGTCTACCCCACAGGGAGGACATTCTTTCTGTATCAGTAGATAGACTTGCTGCAGATTCATTTTGAAAAACGAACAACCTCCTTCAACTGAAAACATAAGCAACCTGCTCCCAGGTCATTACATTTTCTCAATCAGATGAGGTAGAAGTGTGAAGAAAATAAAACTCACTGAATCTACCTGTGTAAACGTGAATGAATAAAGAAGGAATTTACATAGTTAGTCTGGTTGAAAAAAAGACACACATCCATCTAGTTCAACCATTCAAAGGGAAAATTTTTTTTTTTATACAATCCTATATACACAATCCTATACCCACAGTTGATCAAGAGGAAGGCAAAAAACCCCAATAAAGCTTGATCCAATTTGCTCCAGCAGGGGAATTAATTCTTTCCTAATCCCCCAAGAGGGAAATGGATATTCCCTGGATCAACTTTACCTATAAATATTAGTATTAATTTGCCTACAAATTCATGACTCCAGACACCTATAAGTCATTCCCAACTGAATGGAATGGATTCCTCACTCTCTGATATGACTAAATTTGAACGGATCTGTAGAAATGACCCACACTCTTGTGGCCTGATTTCCACACTCTACTCCCAATTGCTTACTCCACCATCACACTCAAACACACCCTACGTGATAAGATGGGAGAGGGATTTAGGTCTACAACTTGATGCCACGGACTGGGATGACATCTGATCAGCCGCAAAATTGGCATCTCAAAACATAGTAGCCCTAGAAAGCAATTACAAAGTACTCATGAGGTGGTACCTGGTTCCTAGTAATATAATAATAATAGTAATATGACGGGCGCAAGGTGGTTCTCTCGTTCTGGGAGGACGTCATATGACGTCCTCCCATTCTCACTGCGCATGCGCGTCTCAGGGAGCGCACAGCGCGGCGATCGGCGGTGCGCTGTGTCCCTCGGACACAGCGGATCACCGATCACGGAAAGAGCCGAAGATGCCGGCTCGGACATGTGATCAGCTGTGTCCAATCACAGCTTATCACATGTAAACAGGGAAATGACGGTTATCGGCATTTCTCTCCTCTCAAGCTGTAACGCTGACAGCTCGAGAGGAGAGGAGAGCCGGTAATCGGCTTTCCGCAGAGGGGACATGTACACTGATCATCAGGGCACTGATGATCAGTGTAGCCCCAGCAGTGCCACCTGTCAGTGTCCATCAGTGCCTTATGTCAGTGCTCATCAGTGCCTCGTGCCAGTGCCCATCAGTGCCACATATCAGTGCCTACCAGTGCACATCATGCCACATATCAGTGCCCATCTGAGCTGCCTTTAAGTGTCACCCATCAGTGCCAGTCAGTGCCACCTATCAATGCCAATCAGTGCCACCTATCAGTGCCAGTCAGTGCTGCCTATCAGTGCACATCAGTGCCGCCTATCAGTGCCTGTCAGTGCCACCTAACAGTGCCAGTTAGTGCCAGTCAGTGCTGCCTATCAGTGCCATATATCAGTGCCATGTATCAGTGCTGCCTTGCAATGCCCATCAGTGATGCCTGTCAATGCCCATCAGTGCCACCTACCAGTGCCTCCTCATCAGTGCCACCTATCGGTGTCCATCAGTGCAGCCTATCAGTGCCCATCAGTGCAGCCTCATTAGCGCACATCAGTGAAGGAGAAAAATCACTTATTTACAAACTTTTATAACAAAAACTAAGAAAAACAATTTTTTTTTCAAAATTTTCAGTAGTTTTGGTTTGTTTAAGAAAAAATAAAAAAAAACCCAGAGGTGAATAAATACCACCAAAATAAAGCTGTATTTGTCACAAAAAAATGATAAAAATTTCATATGGGTACAGTGTTGTTTGATCACGCAATTGTCATTCAAAGTGCGACAGCGCTGAAAGCTGGAAATTGGCCTGGGCAGGAAGGGGGTATAAGTGCCCTGTAGGCTAGTGGTTAAAGAGTCTCTAAATATTAAAAAACATTTGCCCTTTAACTGTTCCAGCAGTGCCAATACTCCAATTAATATCAGAGTAGTTTAAATCTCCCATTATTATCACTGTGCCAGCCCTTGAAGCCCTTTCCATCTGTGCAAGGAGCTGAGTCTCCACCTCCTCATTAACACTCAGTGACCTGTAACAAACTCTAATGATTAACTTTGAACTACGCATATCCATATGCAGTTCCTCCCATAATGCTTCAGCCTCATCACCCTCTCCATCAACCAGGTCCTCTTTTACACTCGCTGTGAGATCACTGCTCATATAAAGACAGACCCAACCGCCTTTCCTTTTTACCCTGTCTCTCCGAAAGAGAACATAGCCAAGAATATTAATAGTACAGCCATGTGAGGAATGAAGCCAAGATTCAGCAATACCAATTAAATCATAGTTCTCTTTATGCAGTAAAGATTCCAACTCTGCTTGGCAGACTTTTGGAATTGGTGAAAAAACACTTTAATTCATTATCACAGTTTGCTCTTGTGTTTTGCTTATCTTTTCTAGCAGTACAAATGTACAAATACAAAGTTGATTAATTGTTTTAAAGAAAATCTGTAGTAGAAGGAATATGGAGGCATTAATAACCCCCTGAGCTTTAAAAGTTTAGCCCCAGGGTACTCTCTGGTGTCAATACTTTCTGAGTGACTAAATCAGAGCGAGCATACAGCTAGTGAAGCTATATAAAATTCAGAACTTCTGATCTGCATATTTGTTCCACTTCAGAGCCGTAGTAAAAATTAAAGTCAATGGACTTATGGACAATAGACTTGGCCTTTTCATAATGAAGTTGTTCTACTAATCTGTATTGTAATTTCGATCGGGTAGCATTGTCAGATGAAGGGTCCCTGCATCTTCTAATGAGGTCAGGTGTGAATTTGGTTTGTTGAAGTAAGAGTATAGAAGAGACCGTGAGCTTGGCGATGCAAGGTACAAAAAGTGTATGGGCGTGAAGATTAAAGGACTCCTAGACTATGTTGGGGCAGCTGTCCCTTTATTTGTTACAAAAGAGAAAAAATGCCATTCTTGTTGAATGTCATCTCAATCAGTTAGGGCATTCAGCCAGAATGAGTTGAGGCACCATATAGGGTTGGGGGGGATATTGGACCAATTCTGAAGCAAAAATTTATTGTCAAAAGTCATGGTAGAAAAGTCTTGGACAACAGTATAAAATCAATATGGGACAAGTAGGAATATGTGGTAGAGAAAGATGAATACACCTTGCAAGTGGGGTATTTATTCCTCCAGGAGTCTAAAAACAAAGTTGGCAAACATTAGACTAAATTTAGTTTCGTGATCAGTGGCAGATGAAGTGATTGTTGGGCCTTCTATATCTAAACTAGGGTTAATCATGGTATTGAAATCTTCCAGTCAGATAGCAGGGGTCATGGTATATTGTGCTATGTAAAAAACCTTCACAAATCACTGCGGAATTATAAGAGGGTGGGACATAGAACGCCAATATCTGAGGTCACAGCCAGCAATTCAAAATGTACAGATTTGGCTATAAGTACAAAAAGGTTGTGTAAGAGGAGTGGAAGGCTTACCTTATGTAGGGCTTTTTCATAACGAGTTGTAATTGGCCTGTTATATGAGTTTCTACTAATACTATGATATGGTCCCTTTGGGATTTGAGGAAAGATAGGGTTGCTAACCGTTTCACTTTGTTGCGGAGACCACAAATATTTATGGACTGTTGAAACAGTTCCAGTCAATTCCTACCACTAGAAAGGGTTTTCATTGCCATAGTTTCAAGAAATTAATATTTGAATTTATACCAGTTTTAGAAATCAGGTAGATGCAGGTTAAAGCAGAAAAAAATAATTTTAATCACACTGAATTACAAAATGGCTTGTGTGACAATTCTATATGGCATATAATTTTTTTATAAAAATAAAATTTCTCCTTAAGTGTTATGAAACAGTGAAAGTCTTAATGACCAATTTACAGTTACTTTGTATGTACTAAATAGAGGCTGTTTTATCTAATACAATGAAAATATTTTCTAATTAATGTTGGCTTGTCATAGTGTAACTGGTAAAGTGATAAGGTTAGTCAGTGCTGCAAGAACAAATAGAGGCCAATGTCTGCATATTAACAGCAGTATTTCCGATGGTAGGCTACGGTATGGGAAAATTAAGTGCAACTGGTCCTGATATTCTCGAAAGCGAAGTATTAATACAGAAAAAATCTAAAAGGGCATTATCTGTTAGTGTTGCCCAGGGGGGAAATTCACCCTACTTCCTGTCCCGGTCACACCCAGACCATAAACTTCTTGTTTCACTCTTCAAATATTTTCTTCAGAGAATCTAGTAAAGGATATAGACAGTGTCAGTGGCTCCCTAGTGTTTTTGCATAAGAGAAAACTATGAGTTAGATTTAGATCAACTATAAAGTTTAATATTTCTCATGTTAGTTACTATTATAAAATGTTTATACCAAAAGCACAACATTTAAAAATATATTATTTTATTTGTTGATACAGATTAGACATAAGCACAGTAAAATATGTTTATCTCTGGACTTCAAGTGCCCACTTTATATCTCCCAAGTGATGCCAGAGCTCCTAGTTCCGCCCAGTTCCTGGAAGATCATAATGGTACAGAGCTTCCTCTAGATCTTGATTGTGAGAGACAATTGTTCCAGTGGTGGTCCTGTAATGCCGACTGCAGGCACTCTGGAAATTATGGTGATCTAGAAGCTCTGATGTCAGCCTTGGGAAGCGAAGGTGAGACTTGAAACCTGGAAATAAAAGTAAGAAAGGAATTTAATTATTAATATAAGATTGTTTAAAGCAACCCTTTTGCTTGTCAATGTATATATAGATTGTTGTCTATAAGGCACTATTCAGCTTATAAGGAACTCTCTGATGCATAATCAGTAAATATAAACCCTGCTTATGTCTGTCCCCAAGACCTGGTTCTTCAACATTTTAGTGTCACCTTCTTGCCTCTTATGTGTCATAGAGAGGTAAAGGTAGACTGCTAAACACAGCCGTGAAGTCAAAAACATCATTTGACAGCCATGTCACTATCTCTACATGTCAATTGTCTGAGGGCAATGTTAAAGATGAGGTTACAGATGAAGATGAGGAGTGAAACTGATGTGCATTCATTTCCATACATCTTAATCACTAGACTCAAAAAATAACTTTTATTTCTCATTGTTTAAAAACTTGTATTTGATAAAACTTTTATATTTTTTATCTTTAAACTTTTTTCTTTTTTCCCTTATCTGCACCCAGAACATGTTCCAGTAATGATGGTTGTGCAATATAGAAAGTTTGGCATGCTGCCTATATATTTAGTTTATTGTACGTGTCTTTCTTTTCTTATGTGGTTGTTTCCTTTTCTTTAGATCATGCCAGTTGTTTCCACTTCTCTCTTATTTTCTTTCCATTTTCCTCTTTTTTCTTATATTTGGTAGCTTAACATATTCATTTAATTCTATACCTGTTTTCTCTCTTTTTCTCTTTGTATTCTCTTGTTCCTTTCCTATCTCTCAGTTCAAATTCCTCAACTGACCCCCTTAAAATATTTTTTCCATCTTTCATGACTTTACTATTTGCTGCTTTCCCTTCCTCTTGTATTTTTCAAGTATTTTCCCTCAGAGTGCTGTCTCATTCTCTTCCCATGCCTTTCCTTTTATTGCAAGCCCTCATTATCAAAAATTAAAGTGCAAATGTGTTTCACGCATAAGTGCTCCTTTATGCTCATTTTACATGGAGAGGGGAGTGCCACTTAAAGCTGAACTCCAGGCAGATATAACTGATATATTTATTTATTATTTATTACAGGGACTTATATAGCGCTGTCGATTTACGCAGTGCTTTACATATATACTGCATTTTACTATACATTCACATTAGTTCCTGTCCTCAAGGAGCGTACGGTCTAAGGTCCCTAACTCACATTCATACATACACATATTAGGGCCAATTTAGACAGAAGCCAATTAACCTACCAGCATGTCTTTGGAATACGGGAGGAACCGGAGTATCCAGAGGAAACCCACGCAGGAACATGCAAACTCTGTGCAGGTAGGGCCGTGGTTGGACATGCAGTTATGTATTGAATTCATATATAAAACACAAGAGGGGAGTTAGAGTAATAGAAGGACATAATGTAAAACCTGGTGAGTGTACCCTTAAATTCAGTGGAAACACTCAAGAATCATTAAAGTGGAACTACAATGTGATCAAACAAAGCAAATCACATCAGCGCTCAAATCAGGATGCTGGATACAAGTTCACGGCAAAAGTCTCTCTGGTCGGTGCAACCATCATCGGATTAGGAAATCCTCAAAACTCTAAAAAATACATACACGCACACTCCTCGTACATTACCGCAATAAATTAATTTTATTAAATACAAAAGACAAATAGGTACTCACAAACCAACTGTGCAATAAGTGTCAGATGATGGGGTCCCATCC